ATTCGACCATGTTCCTTGACTTGGACAGACAACAGACCAACGGAGCTAGTGTTTACTGACTACAAGAAATCATTTGACCTCATAGACCACATGGTCTCCTCCAAACGAATAGCACATATTATACTACCACGCACTAATAAAAAAAACTAACGTTATTTGGATCAATTATTTGGTCGAATTATTTAATTACTAACATAAAGATCGTCTTCAAGATTCAACCTTAAAAAAAGCGCCTTCCAAGTTGGGAGCTTACACAAGTTCAAACAGAGTGAAACTCTCAAAGAAATTAGCGTGGCTCCCTTTCTATGACAAAGTGATATACACACACATCTATCTGTATATATTTAACAATTATTCCACGAGCGCGCTACAGTTGTACAGATGTACCGCTAAGTTACAAGATACGATCGAAACTTTCCTGTGATTCTAGGAACATAATTTATTTGGCTTCGTGCAAGAAATGTCACCTACAATACATTGTTTCCACAACAAATGACTTTAGGGTTAGATTTCGCAACCACAAGTCTGCTATGGTCACTAAGAAAAAGACCTGTGAAGTAGCCGTACATTTTAACAATTACACCACATGATTTAAGCGATTTCTCATTCCAATGCATTGATCAAGTGCAGGCAACAGTAAACAATTCAGGTAACATCGAGAAACTTCTAATTACCAAAGAAGCATATTGGAGTGCACAGCTGTTCTCTCTGGCACCCTTCGGCTTGAGTAAGCGCCAGGAATTTCACTCCAAAAACAGAATAAACTATAATTAATGCGGAGAATTTTTTCAAATTGGGCGGGTATCAAAGGTTCCAGTCTCAGCGTTAATTGGGAACTTTAGTATAATTCTCGCCTCTCAAGTCATCACTGGTTCCTTTACATTTTCAGTGGATTCGACAATTTTTCCATTTTCTTTTTATAGTGACAATTTTTCGCGTAGTAATTACTGTGTTTGTTTATATGTGTCATCACGCTCTATATAAATCTATTTAAGGAATTTTTAAGTCATTGTATTACAACTGATGAAGGTCTCGGACCGAAACGTTTTTTATTAAAACGTTTAGACTTTTTATTGAGTACATGTCTTCCTTCGCTCGAAGTTGTCCGTCCTCGTGTGCCACACTACTTCTCCTA